GTAACTATTACATAAACTATTCTAGGCTAAATCAACATAAAAACTCATTCTCAAGGATTGGTTGTAAAATTTGGAATAACATCCCAGGAAACTTAAGGAATCTTCCAAAAGATATTTTCAAGAAAAAGCTAACAATATTATTTCAAAATCTTCAAGTTCAAGATAGTTATGTTGACGTAGAACGAATAATCAATGATGTGTCAAAAGTTAAATCCAGTTAATAGCACTGCATAACTTATGTATTCTTCTATTTATTGTCATGTGTTTCTATTTCTGTATTTTTATCTCATATTGTCATTTCTGCTTTTAAATTAATAATTTAACATTTAATTTCTGTTTCTTGTATATTTATTGAATCTTTTGTTGAACCGAAATTTATGTAAGATGTTTTACCGTCCACACACTGCCCGCCAAGACTAGCTATGCTATTTGTGGGTAGTGGTTGATTATGTTTAGTTAAGTTAGTTAAGTTAAGTTTAGTTAGTTAAGTTATGCAAATGTAATATATTTATTCCCTTATAAAACAATAAAATAGTCTTGCAATGCTCTCAACATTACTGATCTATGCATTATGCAGCATTCTTCTCAAATATGAACCTTATAATGGTCTAGCTCACCATATAGTCTTTGTTGATCAGTGGTCAAGCATCAGAGTGCAGAATCCAAATGTCTGAGTTTCAATTTCTCAAGAGAATTTAGAGTTTTTTCTCTCTCTTTGGCTTATGTTCATGACTGGACAAGTAACATCTTTCTCTAATCTTGAACTTACTTTAACTTCCTGTCGGCACTCTGGGCAGATTATGATATGCTCAGGTCCCTTTTTCTTCACTAGTTTCACTAGGCACCCTTTACAGTAGGAGTGCAGGCATGTTAACACTTTTGGTTCCTTAAACTGTTCCAGACAAATAGCACAACACATCTCTTTAGCAACTTCTTTTGGCTGAGCACAGGCCATTACCAATCTGAAAAATCCAATCCAATGCTTAAAATAACATCTATCATTTACATTACTGGTATCACATGTGGGAAAGAGAACAAAAGCAAAATTAACAACAAACATGGGCAGTTGGCTTAGTTTCTTTCCCATCACTTATCTTGATCCATAAAAACTAAAAAGGAAGAAATTGACCAATATCCAGCCATCTTGACTGAACAAGCTTGATTAATAAAGGATTGATTGTCTTACAAATAGATTTCCCATTATTAAGAATTAAGAATAACTTGGTTACTTCGAGAGCCCGGAAAAAAAGCCAACTGTGTTTGTAGCACAACAAACTCATGAGAGCTGTCTCTGTTTTCTTTGATTTGACAATCTTCTGCCGCTTTTAGCGTTTCCATTGCCAAAATTGTCCAAGACCATGATTATGATCTTAGTTCTAATTCTATTTTTTTCATGCAATGTGGGCAATCCCAAGCAGGCAAGATGGGCCTATCTTGCCTGCTCAAGCAGCCAATCAGAACACACAATTACCTTTGTCTTGCTCCCAAGCGCTACAAGCGATGTAATAATTCATATTTATTCAAATTAATTGTAGGTTTACCGAGAACATAGTCCCCTCTACCAACTATGCAGAGAATAAGGAATTTTATTTTCGGGTTCAATTAAAACCAGAAGCTTACGGCCTAACAGAAGGGTTAGAAGTTTCTGTTAAAACTCATAAGCATTGTAAAGTCCTACTTGAAAGCTGTCATACAAATAAGCACTTGTACTCTATTGAGCTCCCTCTCCCGGATAAGTGCCCATCCCTTGGGCCATAATATCAAACAAAAATCCCTCAAATAAGTCCCCCTTCCTCCCTCACTTTTTTAAATAGTAGAGACACAAAGAAATCCTCATCCTCAGAGACCCAGGGGCTCTCAGTCTTGATCACTAGCCCCTGGGTCTCCATGGATGGGAAAACCTCTTTCTTGTTGTAGAAAATTAAAATAAGCACACGGGTCCTTATTTGAAGAAATACAGAATGGGTCTACTAACACTGCCTGCTAGTTCTCTGCTACTTTTTTTCTCACAATATGCCCTTCTTGCATGCTAAAATTATATCAGTTTTGGTATATATTGATGAAAATATGTGACCTCTCTCGAGAAAACGTTCCGAACGGTTAGCCGTCTTTAAACGAATAGCTGTTCACCAGCCGTTCATCGGCCGTTCGACTGGATTGGCATGCCGTTTGAACGCCTCAGGCTATCCGTTCTTGAACACATTGACGCCTAAATGAAATTCCCAGCGATCCACTCCTAGTTCCCCAGCAATTTTTTTAACATTTCAGAGCGAGCGCGAGCGCTAAAAGTAAACCATATGCGCAGTAAACACACACACACAAGATCAGGTTTCAAGACTTTGATTATTGCAAGTCAGATAACTTAGCGGCCAAACTATCAAATAAAAACGGTCAAAAGAGCTCAAATCAATGTCCCAAACCAAATCATCACGGCAAAACCGGAAATGCCAATTATTCCTAAATACAAAACACGGCTAAACCCAGTAATACTAATCATTACGATGAGTACAAATCTTTATTATTCGAGTTTCTTTTAAGGTTGTATCGACACTTGAATGATGAGGACTCAGGAGATGAAGGATAAAGCGAAACGTTTATAAATTTACAACATATGATAATCTGCAAAGCTCGGGTGAATTTGAAAGTTTTTGGCGAAAGTTGCGATTTGTTTCTCCGACAATCAAATCCCATATATCATCATCTACAAACTCTACAAAGTAATCTTAAGGTTCAGGAATGTCAGGTAAGTTAAAATTAAGGCCAGTTTCTGCTGTGAAGTCTGGGATGAGGAAGTTGCTGAGATGGTCAGTCCATCGAGCTTCTTCTTCTTCTTCGTCATCGGTACCTCCTGGTGTAGGGCCGCCACTGTCGTCCTCCAAGCCTTCAAGATCTACATCACTATCACTATCATTATTACTACGTCTAGGCTCAAACCCATCAAAGCTTCCTTCATCCCCTGAGTCATAAAAAACAGCCGGAATATCGGGTTCTCTCTCATCGTTCTCCGCCATTTTCGCACGCAACGCAATCGCAAGTCGATCGCACGCGTGAAAAAATTTTTAGAAATCCTTACCTTGTGGGGCGTCTCATCAGCTGTCAAAATATGCGCAAAATACGGCAAATGATTGGCTAATTACCTCTATTTATCTCTATGACAACAGAATAACCAAATACCCTAAGAGAGAGTAGGGAGAGGACCAAGTCCGCTCTCACTTTTTTCGGGCGGTTACGGGTGGCACAGGGAATTCAGGAGCTTTTCGCACGGGCGGTTACGGGCGGCACAGGCGTCATTGGTTGAATATTCATCATCCGTTCGAACCGTTCGAGCTATCCGTTTAAGAAACTTCATCATCCATTCGAACGCCTCTAGCTATCCGTTCTTGAATATTCATAATCCGTTCGAACGCCTCCAGCTATCCGTTCTTGAATATTCATCATCCGTTC